CTGACGGGCCGAGCCATCTCTCGGTCCAAGCCTCAGGATGCCTCTGGGGAACTACAGAAACCTCTGAAGACCTTCTGCATCCTTCCGCATAGGGAGGCCGGTGGATTTCCAGAACCAAGGTGCAGCAAACCATCTTGAACCCTGCGCCCCAGGCGTTGTAAGGAACCCTTGGAGCAGACACTGTGGTGGAACAAATATAGCACCTCGTCTTTTATGTGAAACATATCTGGGACAATGCTGTCACATCGCGCGAATCTGAAGACCAGAATCCGCGAAGTCCAACTCTGACGCCGATCTCACGTATACCTTCTCGTCACCACCGTCGTCAAATGATATTGGCCTTCCCAGCGGTCCTTCGCTCGGGAGCTCCCGAGCGAAGTGAACCCCACCCTCCCCCTCAGAAATCGTGGAGGGTAGGGGTAGGGTTCGCATGTGGCCCCCTAGCAGACCCCACATCCCCGATCAGGGCATCTCGCCTGGGCATCGTTCGTGCATGGGCCGGTGGGGTCAGCGCGAAGCATCTGGGACATCCTCGTCGCTCGGGGCCCCTGCGGAGAGAACCGCCGCAGATGCCACAGCCCCGACCAGGGCACCTCGCCAGGGCATCGCTTCTGGATGGCCCGGTGGGGTCAGCGCGACGCGCCCCGAGCGCACCCGAGAGGCCGGGCCAAAGAGGCCGTCGAGGGCGCGCCTCTCTCCGAGCGCCTGGCCGACGACGACGACGACGACGACGACGACGACGACGACGACGACGACGACGTGGCCCCCGCGAGGCGCACCGCCGCAGGCCGAGTGCGCCGAGGCCGCGGCACATCCGGCAGGAGCAGCTGTGGCGGGTGCAGATCTTCCACAGGTAGATCGCCTGCAGGCCCCGCGGGCGGCGGGCAGCTCCGCCTCTCGCCATCGCTCGGACGTCCGTTTCCACCGTGCGTGTCTCGGTGTCGTGCGTGTATTCTTTCGCGGGATGATCCAAGACGCTTCTCGATGGTCCTCGCCGATGAAAAAATGCACAAGTCCGAGCGATGCCAAGTCCTTCGGTTTCTAACCCGCCTCAGATGGACAGGCCAAGAGGTGATGACAATCTTGGAGATGCACCCTACCAAGAAACTGAGCGGATCCGTCACATCGGCATCAAGATGATGTGGCGGCCATCATCGGGGTAGGGATATGTTTCAGGCTGGTAAGCTTCCTCATCTGGCGCACAAGCTCAAACACCCATCGACAGAACCTCAGAGCGAGGGGCACGAGGGGCCTGGGCACTTGTCGGGAGCCACATGGCAGAATTACGGTTCCGCCGTCCAGGCTGGTGTTGTCGATACCTCTCGGCTGGCCCTCCTCCGACAATCGAAATGACAATTGTCGGAATTCGCATGTATTCGGCCATTCTCACCCGAGTAGCTCGTGGTGCAGGCTGGTTCTGGGGTTGACTGCCTGTGGCCATCCCGCGGGCAGTGTCGGGCCCACTTCCAAGACGGCCCCCTCAACCCTTACAGTACTGCTGCGAGAAGAAGCACACCATGTTAGAAAAGAACCTTGGCATTGTTAAACAACTTGGTCAGACGAAGGATTGCAAAAAAAACCGAAGGATTGCAATCCTGGGTTTTTTTTGCCATCCTTCGGTTTTTTTTGCAATCCTTGGTTTTTTTGCAATCCTTCGATCTGAGAGCTCGCGACAATCATGACGATGCCATCAAGGACTGCCAAACCACAACTCGGTCCGAACAACCTGTCCACGGGAGAAGGCCCAGGCCTCCGGGGAACCACGTCTGAAGGGGCCCAAGGACACACCACACAATTCAACAGACACAGATGACAGGGTTCCAACATGTTCTGGGTGTTTGTCTTCCCCCCCACTTCCCACATGTTCCCATATGTTCTGGGGACTCGACGATTGCTCGTCTCTGTCTGTGTTTTCCCTCCTGAACGACGTCGGATGCTTGGGAACAGCTGCGCGAAGCTGCCACGCAGAAAAGGGCCATGGCAAAGGCGTGCACATCACTCGCCAAAGTGCTGGTTATGATGATCGCTGACTGGCTTGTTGTGCCCGGCTGCCCCGAGTATGCTGAGCGAGCATATGACCCCCAGCGCTGCGATGTTGTCCTTGGACATCATGATGATAACCTTTGGGGAGAGTTCGCAAACTTGTGATCAAACTGTGGCAAACGAAGACACCTGGCGATCGTAAGGAGGACCCACGATAGTCATACGCCTGCTTGGTCGCGAACTCTTCCGTTTGCAGCTGGCTCGATGAAGCCAGCTGGCTGCAGCCAGGACGGTGATGGGGCAAGAAGTGTAGCCTTCTTGACAAGATCTCAGATACGATACCATTCCTCGGAGCTCAGTCCGAATAATTGTGTCTGTGCATTCGGCGCCGCACCCCGCCAGTTTTTCGCCACTGCCCGTGTACTGCGCGCCGCCCGTCGGATACCGATCCTCAGAGCTCTCGCCGGAGAAGGGCGGAGCTTTCTGTGGAGAGATCCCAGGGCCGGTGATTTCGTTAGTGCGCTCCATCGGACAAGATTGCATTCGGATTGTTCGAGGCTTGGGGTGGGACGGCAAAAGAGGAGACGTTGGAGTCCCGAGACGGCGCGGTGGCACGCCGCGCGGTGACCTCGGAGACCCCAAAGAGTCCTCACCGCACGGTCCGTCGCCGCACACTTTCGGGACCTCGGATGCCCCCGTCGCCCGAGGCGTCCCCGGAGAAACGACCCGAATCCCAAAACCGTGCGGTGACCCCGCATCCCCACCGACTCACCGCACGGTGTGGCCCCCCTTCCGCTTGGGGGCCCCCGAGCTTCTGGCCCTTCGGCGGCCCCCGTCGGGCCCGGGGGGCTGTCAGAACAGGAGGTGCGCGGCGGCGCTCCCAGGGTTAGGTCGGGCATGTCCCCCTACAGGCGGATTTTGGACGAAAAATGACAAAATGCCCCACCAATATCAAAACATAGTCAAACATAGGAGGAAAAATCGTCCCCTGACTATTTCAAACTATTTTCGAAGATTCCTCCTGTAGAAGAAAAAAGGGGGTTGCGAGGAGGAGGAGGAGGAGGCCGGGGACGGCGGCCAGGACGAGCGCCAGGGCTGCAGCCAGAAGAGGCTCCGGGCCTGGCCCAGCCTTCCAGGGAGGGGGAGGAGGAGGAGGGGAAGGAGGAGAGGGAGGAGGAGGAGGCGGAGGAGGAGGAAGAGGAGGAGAAGGAGGAGGAGCAGGCGGAGGGAGGAGGAGAAAGAGGAGGAGACGGAGGAGGAGAAAGAGGAGGAGAGGAGGAGGAGGAGGAGGAGGAGGAGGAGGAGGAGGAGGAGGAGGGAGGAGGAGGAGGAGGAGGAGGAGGAGAGGAGGGAGGAGGAGGAGGAGAGGAGGAGGAGGAGGAGGGAGGAGGAGGAGGAGGAGGAGGAGGGAGGAGGAGGAGGAGGGGGAGGAGGAGAGGGAGGAGGAGGAGGAGGAGGAGGAGGAAGAGGAGGAGGAGGAGGAGGAGGAGGAGGAGGAGGAGGAGGAGGAGGAGGAGGAGGAGGAGGAAGTCGGAGGGCCCCCGCCCTGTCCTCGGCCTCGCCCTCCTCCTATTTGGCTGGGGGCTTGGCTCGAGCCCCAGTTAGTAGAGCATCGGCCAATTTTTCGGCGCCGATCCGATCGATGATCGGGGGGGTCGGCATAGGCACGGAAAGAGTGGGGACGAAGACCGGCGGCAGCTACTGTCTGTTCTGAGAAGGAATGGCTGTGCGGCCCCAACGGCGGCCGCTGCTGGACTGAGACAGCATTTGTTACTGGGCACTGTGCGCATTCTTTCCGTACCCATGTCCAGGGGAACAAGCAATGACACAAACTGGGACACGGGGGCCCTTACGCGGGACACGCGCCAATGTCAGCGCTGCCGAACCCGACTTTTTGCGCCGCTCGCTCGGGAGGCCTGGAGAGCCATCGTTCTCGTGGCCTCTGCCTCGACGACGACGCTGGCGGAAGAAAAAACACATAAACATAAACTTTTGGCGCTCCGCGCAGATTCAGATTTCTCGGATCCGCGCTGGACCCCCTTTCCCCGGCGCGCGGAGCGCGCCAAGGGCGGCGCCGGAGGCGCCGCCGGGGGGGGCCCAGCACGGATCCAGGGAATCCGCGCGGAGCGCCCCAAGTTCATGTTTATGGTTTTTGTTCTTCTTCTTCTTTGAGACGACGACGACGACGACGACGACGACCGCCGCTGGGGCGGCTCTGGCCAGATGGGGCCGCGCCTTCCCCGCGTCGGCGGCGCGGCGCCGCTGCAGCTCCTCGGGGGTCAGGTCGGGCATGTCCCCCTGCAGGCGGATTTTGGACGAAAACTTAGGAACAGTCCAGAACTATGCATAAACAGCAAAAAAAATAGTCAACGAATCGCCCCCAGACCATTCAACGAATCGTCAAACATCGTCAACGAATCGTCAACTATTTTAAAAACATTCCCCCTGTAGAGAGGCAGGCCCGACTTACTCCTCGGGATCGGCCATGCTCAGCGCCGAGCGCGGGATCAGCACCATGCCGGGGCACGCCCGCTGGCAGGTCTCCTCGCCGGGCGCGCTGCGGGGGGGACCCTTTTCTGGAGGGCAGGGAAGCCCCCCCCGTACTGCAGTGGAGGTCCGACCACAAGAAGCCTTCCACAAGAGACCCAGCCCTGAGATCCCAAAACGTTCATCGATTTCTGGCGTGGGCACGTCACGCTTTCCATCGCAAAACCATCGAAACCCAAGAAACCCAGGGCACCCTGGAGGCGAGCAGGGCGTTTCTTGGCATGGGCCCCCACTGTAATCACCCCGACACGCGAAGCCGTTCAGTAAGCGCAGCCGCAGGAGGAATCGAACATGGCAGTGCTGTTCAATAAACGCCCATGGTCGTTTCGGAAACGCAGGTTCTCAGGTCCCGGTGGTTTCTCCTCCCGTGATTCTCGGCGGCGCGCACAAGGGGGCCGGGACGTGCTGACCCCTGGGGGATCCCCAAGGACTCCCAGACCCCTGACCTTCCAGAGGGCTTAAAGCACCAGGACCTCGACGTCAGAATCCCTGTCGAGAATCTAAGCAGTCCACATGGGTCTATAGGCCTGGACGGCTATGTTTGCTGCACCCTGGAATGTCAGGGACCTCCACCGCGCGTCTGCGCCTCCCCAGCCAGACCGGTAGGGCCCGTGGCCAAGACCTTTGGGCCTGGGACGCGCACGGCCAGGCTCGGGGAGGTGGTCTGTCGTGGACGCGCGAACTTGAAGAAGACGGGTCTTGGAGGAAGGGTTGGCGGGGCGCACAGGGGGGGTATGGGGGAGGGGGGGGGAGCTTCTTTGAAAAAGGTGCTTCTTGGAAGGCGCCGGCCCTGCATCTGCGGACGAGGCCGGCGCCTTCTGAGAAGCAGGGGTGCTTCTAAGAAGCCTTCCCCCCTTCCCCCTTCCCCCCGTCTGCGCGTGGCCGCGTGAAGGAGACGGGTCTTGGGGGAAACGAAACCTGAGGGCTCCTGGGCGCGCCGCCAGTGGGGACAGGCCTTCCCTTGCGATCCGGCTGTTGCCATTTCCTCGCGCTAGGCGTTTTCGCTCGGTCTTGGGCCCCAGGCCCATCACAGATCGCTCCTGATGGGCCTGATTTCCACCACCATCACCATACGTTGGAGGGGGGAAGGAGGTGGAGGACGAGGAGGAGGAGGAGGAGGACGAAGACGAGGAGGAGGAGGAGGAGGGTCGTCGGGTCCCAGGGCACTGTCAAATCCGAAATCCCCGCGTCTGGTCAAAAATGGTGACATAACATGTCTGGCAATGTTCGGCCCTCAGAGGGCCCTCGCCGGGCCCGGGGGCTGTAAAACAGGGCTGAACCTAAACGGTGTGTTTGGTTTTCGTTTTGTCTTCAATTCGCCTTTAACGTAAAACGCGATCGAAACGAAGACGGCCCACGAAATCGCCAAAATACCGTTTAGGTCCGCCCCTGCTGTAAAAAAACGGCTCGGGATGAAAAGGTAGCCCTCGGAAAAGGTCCAAGACCTCTGGGGGCAAAGTTGAGAATAAACGCGCGACGGACTTGGCATTTTTGTCTGGGATTGCGTTCGTTTGGGACTCCGCTGTAGGATCATCCGAGGACGCCCTCAGGACGCAGAAAAAAACAGACCGAGGGAGGGGAGAGAGAGAGAGAGAGACAAGCTGGTTGAGATCGCGTCTCATCTGGCATCCTAACCTCACGAAGCAATTCAGAATCCCCCAGAGGTATCGTTAACACCGAAACGAACATAACATATTCGCGTATCCATCGGAACATCTTTAGCACCACACCAAACCGCAACAAATAAATCATGATTTCCACCCTCCCTGCGACCGACATTAATGACGCAAGAGCCTTGAACGCTCCTCCTCCTCCTCCTCCTCCTCCTCCTCCTCCTGCTCGCCACTTTCGAGGGTTGCTGGGAGCTCCAGAGGAGTGCTAAGCGACGGCCAAGTGCCAGGGTGCCAGGGTGACGCTTCAGGGTGCTGGGTGCGTTATCGGTTCACCGAAAGGGGGGGTCCTCAAATGCTTCATGAGGTGATCCCTTCCTCCCATCCCCCGATCGAAAGGACTATCAAGCCTGCTCGGATGATGATGTGTTTTGTGTGCCAAGCGCAGGTAGCCTTCGCCCTCCAGGCTACGGACGAATCGCAGCAGCAAGAACCAAAGCGAAGGATCGGGAGGAGAAGGCTACGGACGAGTAGCAGCAGCAGGAACTAAAAAGCGAAGGATCGGGAGCGGAAGGAGGATCAGGGGAAGGCGGATAGTGGGGAAATGAGGGGGACGATAGCGATGGAGAGAGGCTCGGGCTCACCCAAAAGTGGCCCGCGCCGGGGCGGGACGAACAGCAGCAACAGGAACTGGAGTGAAGGAGCGGGAGGAGAGAAGAGAGAGAGAGGGGGGGGGAAAGGGTAAAACTATCAAGGGCACAGCTAGAGAGGACATGACTTGGCACGTGCGTCCTGAGGGAAGGGGGAGGCCCTCAATCGTCCTCGGGCCCATCTTCAGGGACCCCAGAAACACGCCCTGGAGGAGAGGGCAAGGGCGGCCCGCGAGAATCTGGAAATCGGCCCGAAGCGGAGCGTGCGTCGGACTGGGCCGCGTCGGCAGGGAGCGGAGCTCAAATCGGATCGCCCGCGCCGTGGTGCAAAACACCACCGTGCCAACATCGGGCCGCATCGGATCGTTGGAACATCGAAGAGAACGAACGACGTCTGAGTACGCTTCACTTAAGGAAATCGAGAGGTACCGATAGACCTACTCCACGGACCTCTCCCGGAGTGCGTCCTGACCAGAATTTCGAGCGAATCCAGCGGTGGCGACGAGAGCCTCCCATGAGAGGAAACAGGAGATCACGGGCAAAGGGTAGCCGTGTGGGTACCTGTTCCTTCTCCGATCTCTAGCATTCCCCCCCCCCCCCATGGCTAGCCCGGGCCCGCCTCGTCAACCGCGCTCAGCGGGGCGCGCCAGCTCTCGGCGCTGCCGCTGCTGCCTCCCCAGCTCATGCCGGCCTCTGCCGCGCGCTGGGCCGTCGAATCGCAAGCGAATCGGCAGCGAGCGACGACGACGACGACGACGACGACGACGACGACGACGACGACGGCGGCGGCGGCGGCGGCGGCGACGGCGGCGGCGGCGGCGGCGACGGCGACGGCGACGGCGACGGAGACGGCGACGGTGACGGCTACGACTACAGCGACGACAACGACGGCGGTGGAGGACGACGGCGATGACGACGAGTGACCACGACGACGAATGACGACGACGACGAGTGACGATGACGACGACGCCGACGCCGACGCCGACGCCGCTACTGCCGCCGCCGACGACGACGAGTGACAACGAGAACGACGACGGCGACGAAGACAGCGGCGGCGGCGGCGGCGGCGGCGACGACGACGACGACGGAACATCGTGATTTTTCCACGGCGCGACGGGGTCAAACTTTCGAACCACAACTCGGGACTGAAGCGACCGTTTGGGGCTAGTCTTTCCCAGAAAGCTCTCAACAAGGCGGAGCCGATGGAGAGCTTCCGGAAACAATCTGGAGACCTTCAAGATTCCTCTGGTCGTGATTTTCTTGGGCACCCAAATTATCTGGGATAGACTGAGTGTCCCCACCTGCTTCAAGAATGCACTGGACAAATCTACACTGAACAGACCGTGGCCCGGGAGAACTCGGGCTGAGTGCGATCCAGGACAGCTATGGCGCGAAGGGGGGGGGTCCGAATCAGGAGTGGTCCCCGACCACCCCCTCCCCTGATAAAGTGGAGGCCCGACCACGGGAAACCTTCCACAAGAGACCCAACCCTGAGATCCCAGGACGTCCACTGATTTCTGGCGTGGGAACGTCACGCTCTCCGTCGCGAAACCAGAAACCATCGAAACCGAAGAAACCCAGGGCACCCTGGAAGCAAGCAGGGCGTTTATTGGCATGGACACCCACTGTAATCACCCCGACACGCGAAGCCGTTCAATAAGCGCAGCCGCAGAAGGAATCGAACAGGGCAGGGCTGTTCAATAGACGCCCAAGGTCGTTTCGTAAACGCAGATTCTCGGGTCCCGGTGGTTTCTCCTCCCGTGATTCTCGGCGGCGCGCACAAGGGGCCCGGGACGCGCTGATCCCTGAGGTATCCCCGAGGACTCCCAGACCCCTGACCTTCCAGGAGGGCGCTCGAGGCGAATCTGAGAGAGCCCGCGAGCGGACTCCCAGGCCTCGCCGAGAAGGCCGCCTCTCGCCCCGGAGGTGCAGAGGCCACGGGGGCGCGCAGCCCCAGGGAACGAGGGCACCCTCGACCTGCCAGCGTTGGCCTGCTGTTGCAGCATTCGGCCTGACCCGAGGAACGATACATAAGGAACGACAACCAATTTTTCCGACTAAGTCTACGAAGTCCGAAGGAACGCCAAAGGGGCTCGTTGCCGAAAGGGCAGCGGAACGCATGCAAACCAAAAGAACGATCGAACCCCTTTTGAAAAGTAAGTGCTCCTCATTCAAGCCGGATCCGGTAGGTCGGGCATGTCCTCCTACAGGCGGATCTTGGAAACATTCAAAACAGTAGTCACAAACAAATGCTCGACAAGAGTCCAAACATGCTCAAGAAATCGTCTCCAGACTATGTTTGGACAATCTCTGGATATTCCTCCTGCAGAGGGACACGCCCGACTTATAGAGGGCTCCTTGATGGGGTCGGAGTAGATAGTTAGGGTCGGAGTATCGCGCCGCATCGCCGATACATCGGCGATGCATCGAAGATGCATCGGCCATGCATCGGTGATGCTTTGTCGATGTCGGCGATGCATCCGTGCATCCGCGACGTCGACGTGAAGCAAATCGGTCCCCACATCAAGCAGCATCGCCGATGCATCGGCAATGCGGCGCGATCCTCCGACCCCATCCAAGAGGCCTAGAACTCAAGCCTACTGATCAAAATGGGCTGCAACTCTATCAGGGAAGTGCAGTGACCGAAGCTGTGACCGACTTGCCCGAATATGACCGAAACTGGCGACCGAAATGATCGAAAAAGCGACTG